GCACTCAACCCCAATTAACCCTCACATCAGACTCCCATCCATATCATTGAGCTCCTAATCCCGCTGCTCTAGGCCTTCCATTGATTCCCGGACCTCTCACTCATCGCATGATCATCTAACTTGAGCCTTATCCCACCCTTCCCCTCCCCTTCCCCACCTTCATCTATTCCCCCTCCTCCCCCTCCCTTCCCCATCTGCCTTCTCCCTCCTTCCCCCCTCTGTTTTCTCCCTCCCCCCCTCTGTCTTCTCCCCCCCTTCCCCCTCTGTCTTCTCCCTCTCCCTTCCCCCTCTGTCTTCTTCCTCCCCCTCCCCCTTTCCTCCCCCCACCTCGCGGAAGGAGTGATGATTCGTGTGTATTTCATACCATAACATAGACATCATTAATAACAAGCTGTAGGCATGAGAAGAAATTTTGAACGCGTATGATTTAAAGTATATTGTTGTCTAAAGGTTCACTACTGAGACGGTAGAAATATTTCATTACAAAAACAGTCTGCATCTATTATCGAATATTTGTTCTGCCGCCAAGTAGGATTATTGCCAAACCCTGTAGGGAAGTGAGAATTATTAACTTATTTTTTTATGCGGATTTTTGTATTAGTTCGTATATTTCGTTTAAGTTCAGTATAGATACTGTAGCCTTATTTTGGGTTACTGTAATGGTTAATACTTAATGTTTTAAGGGAACCGCCCCTGAAAATCACTCATGTGAGGGGAAACTGCAAATTGATTATCAGGCCCGTCTTGGGTGATTTCGTGTGTGTCGTGCTTGAGCGTGATAGAGTGATACAGGATTTTCCGCCGTACGTTCTACGGACACATAGTGTACTTTTGCTTGTACAAACATACATAAGCCACTTAAATTGGTTTTGCTTGTACCAAACATACATAAGCCACTTAAGATTGGTACTTTTACTTGTACCAAACATACATAAGCCACTTAAGATGGTACTTTTGCTTGTACCAAACATACAGAAGCCACTTAAGATTGGTACTTTTTGCTTGAAGCCACTTAAGATTGGTACTTTTGCTTGTACCAACAAATAAGCATTAAAATTGGTACTTTTGTACCAACATACATAAGACTTAACTTTTGCTTGTACCAAACATACATAAGCACTTAAAAATTGGTACTTTTGATTATACCAAACATACCAAGCCACTTAAGATTGTACTTTTGCTTGTACCAAACATACATAAGCACTTAATTGGTACTTTTGACTTGTACCAAACATACATAAGTACTTTTGCTTGTACCAAATACATAAGCCCATTAAGATTGGTACTTTTGATTGTACCAAACATACATAAGCCACTAAGATTGGTACTTTTGCTTGTACCAAACATACATAAGCCACTTAAGATTGGTACTTTGCTTGTACCAAACAATACATAAGCACTTAAATTGGTACTTTTGTCTTGTACCAAATACATAAGCACATTAGCATGCTGTACCCATACCTGGTACTTTTGCTGTAACATACATAAGCCACTTAAGAACTTTTGATTGCCAAACATACATTACTTAAGATTATTTGTACAAACATACATAAGCCACTTAAGATGGTACTTTTGATTGTACCAACATACATGCTAAGATTGGTACTTTTGCTTGTACCAAACATACATAAGCCACTTAAGATTGGTACTTTTGCTTGCTACCAAACATACATAAAGCCACTTAAGATTGGTACTTTTGGCTTGTACCAAACATACATAAGCCACTTAAGAGATTGGTTTGGCTTTTGTACCAAACATACATAAGCCACTTAAGATTGGTACTTTTGCTTGTACCAAACATACATAAGCCACTTAAGATTGGTACTTTTGCTTGTACCAAACAATACATAAGCCACTTAAGATTGTAACTTTTGCTTGCTACCAAACATACATTAAGCCACTTAAGATTGGTACTTTTGCTTGTACCAAAACTACATTAAGCCACTTAAAGATTGGTACTTTTGCTGTACCAAACATACATAAGCCACTTAAGATTGGTACTTTTGCTTTACCAAACATACATAAGTCCACTTAAGATTGGTACTTTTGCTGTACCAAACAATACATAAGCCACTTAAGATTGGTACTTTTGCTTGTACCAAACATACATAAGCCACTTAAGATTGGTACTTTTGCTTTTACCAAACATACATAAGCCACTTAGATTGGTACTTTTGCTTGTACCAAACATACATAAGCCACCTTAAGATTGGTACTTTCTACGGACACATAGGTGCACTTTTGCTTTTACCAAACATACATAAGCCACTTAAGATTGGTACTTTTGCTTGTACCAAACATACATAAGCCACTTAAAAATGGTATTACTTATGAATATCAGTTCGTTGATGTCTAACGAATGTTTCGATACTACATTCAACTACATTTGATGGTATCACATTGATTCATAGTGAAATTATTTGAAAAAAAATCGCATAAAACGTTAATTTGAGTATATTTACACATGAAATATGCCTTGTACTGAGACTTTGTGGCGATATGTGGTAGCTTAGACATTCGTTCTTACGTATCCCATATATGAAATATGCACGACCAAAAATAAAAGAATTAGACGTTATCTTCCGAAAGTAGATAATGACACTGGATTTTCATTCATTTACCGGCAAACACCTACATGTACTTTTGATTGTTCCGAACATACATACAACGTTTACAAACGACATTGCATATGAATATCAGTTTCTGAATGTCTAACGACTTTTCAGATACTCCATGTAACAATATTTGATGGAATCATATTGATTTATAATGAAATGTTTCCGAGAGAAAATAAATAAATAATAAACCGCATGACTATACGCATTTGGGTATATTTACTGATGAATTACGCCTTGCTTTGAGACTTTCTGGTAATATGTTGTAGCTTGGACATTCGTTCTTACGTATTCCATGTAAGAAACATGCACGACCAAAAATAAAATTGACGTTATCTTCCTTTAGCATGGCAAGAGAGCAACCTTGGAGGGCCGCAGGCAGGGAACAACCGAATGGCATTTCCTCTCATTTAACACCTCATATCTTTCCTACGCTATTCTATTGGGATAAATAATTCTTTCTTTTTTTCAAATAATAATTGTGATACGGGATTTTACCATTTACGCATGAATAGCGGTTCGCGAATGCCCATAAAATGTTTGTAGCCAGATTCAAAGCATATGATAGAAAATTATTATTTTTCTATAAATAATTTAAAAATATATTACGCTAACAGGTCTAGGTTCATGTAAGTATGAAATATTTTTTAAATCTAAAACTGCTGCTACTATGGTGTTGGTTAGACTTTGATTAGTATGATTATTAAGTATGAAATGTGTAAGACAAAAATAAAGAATACAAGTTATCTGTCAATATGGTCAAATAACGACATGCCAGGGTTGTTGTGGGGAACAACCTGTTGCTAACTACCCTCGCTTGCCCCGAGTGTTCCTGCGGCATTTTAACGAACACTGAGTAGAGTTATCTACTAGTAAATGTCCCTAGAATTAATTACGAATGAATGAATGGAAATCAATGCGTGTTAGTTTATTTGGTTACATGTATACATAACGTATGTACTGTATCAGAACAATCAGAAAGCTTGTTATATCACAGACATTTACAAGGTATGAAATAAATCCATAACTGGACTCCCATCCACATTTTCCCTCCTTCCCTCACTCCCATAGATTTCAATTACTTTTAGAAAGATCGATTTTATGAAAGACGCAGAGATTGATATTACGTATTCTGTTATACGATGAAACTAAACAATGAGTGTATGTTAGTTAGAAGTATACAAAACTCGTTATGAATCCCTGGTAAAAGAATGCGAGGGAGCTATTAATTAAGATTCAGCACCTCACATCGGAGTGGAAGGCGCCAATTCTGTGTCGAATTTCTGAGAAGCTTCAGAGCATTGGTCGCTGTTGCCGTGTGTGGATGGATGATTGCAGAGCTCTTACTAATATGAAAATGAAACTAGCCACAATGAGAACTGTGGCTAATATATTCTTTGTCTCCGGTACAGAAAGCAGCGTGTCTTAAACCTAGAATTTCAGGTTCCTCCAAGAGCAGGAAGGTGATGCTGAAGGCCCTGCGGGAAAAGCGAAATCCACGTTTACGTTCCAGGAACCCGTTATCTTCGGTCTCCAGTGACGCTGATGGAGTGGAGGAGCCTTTACCATCGACATCGCGTGGCAGGTCGCCGCTGTCGACGACGACCGCGTCGGTCTCCAGTGACGCTGATGGAGTGGAGGAGCCTTTACCATCGACATCGCGTGTCTTGTCATGCATATCTTCTCTCTCCAGGTCGCCAGTTCCTTCTACCTCGTGGAGTCGCTCACCCTTACCCCGTGACTTGTCGCCTTCTCCTTCCAGGTCGCCTGTATCGGCATTCAGCAGCGAGTCATCAGCACCTTCGACGCCATATGATTTCTCTCTCGTTTCTAGCGACACCTCTAGGTAATCACAGGAACTGAATTTTGTGCTGAGTTCTGAGGGCAGTCTCACTTCAGCCGGTTCTCCTGAGCGAGCGTGACATCAAAGCTGACGTTGACGGCTTAGTTAGGATGACATCCTTGCGAAAGCTTATCTTTACAGGTGTACCGGAATGCCAAGGCTGAAGGATTCTTTACCAACAGGACCCAGCTAGCACGTCAGAGAGTAAAGGAGTTTTACAGGACCGAACAGAATGTAGTTCCTGACGCAGATGCTATTACAGATGTCATCGTATCCTTCGACTGTTTGGGAGACCCGTGGGCACCGTAGCCATATTGGTTTGGCGTTTATCGAGATTAATGCTGCACTGTTTTAGATAAGCAGATGCTGTGTAACCTGTGCAGTGTTTGCCAGAAGGAACGCCAAACCCTCCCACTTGATGACTTCGACAACTGGTTTCTCTCCCACAGGCACTGCAGCATGAACTTCGTTGGACCGTCTGGGAGGGTGGAGGCAGAGGCAGCTCAACGGATGTTTCTTCGCTCCACATATTATAGGCCTGCGGTATGCATACTTCGTTCGTGATGGCAATTCTGCTTACAGGAGCGTGCACTGTATTTATGGCGCCGACAGGGAGGTCGTGAAGTACGAGTGCATCAACCATGTCGGCAAGCGAATGGGCACGCGGCTCTGAAAGCTGAAGGAGAAACTCACCAAGCCAGCCACCACGTGCACCGAGCGGGTCGTGCGCCGTTTCCTCTTGGCGCGCTTATTGACTAACAAAAACATTGATAATTTATCTAGGTTTTACATGTTATCGTTGACGCACTCCGTCAACATCAGCCTGGAGACTATACGGAAGAATGACCTTGCGTCATTCTAACACAATTCTCCCAGTAATTTCAGGGTGCAGCACCAGTATTGTCCTGACAGCGCCAACAGCTGGTGCTTTTATAACTCCGCGAGAGCAACAGGCAGGGTTCCTCGTTCTCATTGTCAGGAGAATCATTTTCTCAGGACAGTCCCGCAGGCGATATTGTAGCAGGAGGGATTCCTCGTTCTCATTCCCAGGAGAATCTTTTCCTCAGGACAGTTGCAGGAGATCCAAGCGATTTACAAGGACCTTACTAAAGATGAGCTGCTCTCTAGGTGTCTTCCAGGGTATACACAGAACGCCAACGATTCCCTGCATTTCAGTTTGGTATAAGTGCTCCAAGGGAAAGGATGCAAGCCTGCAACGTGTGTAGTTGGTTTGCAGTCTTGTTTTGGAGCATAATTTTGTTTTTTCACTGGGAGGCCTTTTGCTGTACCTCGGATGGAAGATACCCCGCACCCTGATTTCGAATTTGCAGGCGCAGGAGAGGGAGCGAGAGCGAGCTGCAGACAGAGCTGAGCAACGTCATCGCCGCCGCCGTCGGCACAGGTCTGCGAGTCCGAATATGCAGCAAGGAGATTCTGAAAAATCCGTATCCTTCAAAGACGTTTTTATTTTTTTTTTTTTTTTCAGAAATATTTTTGTTATATTTAAGTTTTTTTTTACTTTTATTATAATTTTTAGTAGATATCATTGGGTTTTTTTTTTTTTTTTTTTTTTTGCGAAGGTTTTGTTTTGTGAATTTGGCGACAATGAGTGGGTTGGCAACCCATGATACCCTCCGCAAGGATAATATCTCAGCTCTGATAAGACAGAGCTGAGAGGGGACCAAAAGCCAACAAAACAAAACTCTGGAATAAGAATATCATCCGAAAATAACATATAGTATCTCGTTTTTAAAAACCCAAAAGAAAACAGTATAGACATCCATTTCTATAATAGCATAGGATAAATAAATAAAACGTACTTGAATATGTATGCAGTTTACTAAAAACATTTTTTATTCAGTGAGTATGATCTATGGTTAATTCTATGTGCGTGTGTTCACATCCTCTCGAAAATTATAGGGACGCAGTGACCAGCTCCCCCATTCCCCCTCATTCTAGAGCATGGGAATAATTCGTCAGCTTGTTGGAATTCTCGCCTTCCATTTATTTCACTCATGTGCTTCTACCATTCTCTGAATTGAACCTGTATGTTGTATTCATGCTAGGATTATGTGAATATAATAATTTTCACGTCGACACGATGGCCACTTCCCCAAGTGGTCCCAGGCCTCCATCATGGAGCGAGCCCAGACCACACGATAAAGGAAGATGGTAAAAGCCGCGTTAATTTATTCAACAAATAACTTTAACACCGCAAAAGGGAGGTACGATCTAGACAAGGTCGTCGCACGCACGCCCTCTGTATGTCATCCTGTATACCCTGAAGAAGCAATATAGCGGGAACGCCTTCGACATATTCATGTTGTTTTTCGTGTTTCCCTCGTTCTATTTGCGGAACCAACACACCACACACACCACGCACACACACACCACGCTCCCACACACACAAGAACTATATACTCATAGACTTGCATACATACACATTCGAGAGCGAAATATTGGCTTAAATGTGAAATAAAATACATAAGATGCCGAACAATTGCAAGCAGACCTAACAACGGCAATATATATATATATAATATATATTATATATATATATATATTTATATATATATATATATTATAAATCTAGCATAAACAAAGCTTGCAAGAGTGGGAAAAAGGAAAGCCAGACGTTAAATTCGTTATTCAGACCAAAATATATCTGCTTTGATGCTTGCTCGTCCAGACAGCCAGCAGGACGAGGCGGCGGTCGGAAACTTGAGGCCTTCATTGCTCACAGTGGAACCAACTCGAAAGTAAACATTCACGATATTATCATCTTTATTTTACACGCTGCATAGGTTTTATAACTCTTCTGATGCACAGATAACTTACTTTCAACTGACAAACGCAGAAATACCCTTTGATAAGAACAATAAACGTCCATAAAATGACCAGTCAATATCATTGTTTACATACAAATGTTTTAGTGATTTCATCTCGTCCTGCTCTTCCATTTGTGAAGGAGGTCGAGATGGCGTTGTCCAGAATGCCCAGGAAGCCAAAGTAGGGGTTCAGAACGGTCAAAGCATCTTGTTT